TTAGCCATCTGGCCACTTCTGATTGACTCTGCCCTGCCTCTAGTCTCCCGATGGCTCTCCATCGTAGTTCTTCAGGCAAATGATGCCTAGAGGTCATTATTACGAATTGGCTATCTCAGATTTTCAATGTCGCAATCACAGTAAAATTTGTGTGCTTTCTCTCAAACTTGGACTTTTATGCTCCAGGCAGATGACGTAAGCCGAGTGCAGCGCCACTAATTTGCATATTGCAATTTTACTCAGCTACTCTTAGTGGACAACATATGCAAATTTTGCACGGTTTGGCTTACTTTTGAAAGAGTTATCGCGATTTTTGTGAATTTTCCTTAATTTATGATAACCAGTGTATATCTATTATAACATTTGAAACATACTGTTCCTCTTAAGAATTTTCTGTAACATTCAGCTATTTATTATAGTATTTTTTTATCAAGGTAATGATTGATAGAAATTACCATTGATTTTTTTTTTTTCATTTAATTGTCACGTTTTATCCTTCATAGTGGCTTAATCTCTCGATTAACAGTGTCAATAATTTTATGCTTACTCTTTCAATATTTCAATCGGACATCGACTTGGAAAAGATGAAAAATTATTTATTAATTTTGTGGTAAGTCACAATTTAAATAATTGCATCAATGTTCTTTCCGATTTTTGTTTACATAATTATAAATATTTGTCTAATAATTTGATAACGACAGAAGACTTTTTTTCAGTTAACCTCCCGGATCTAGCTTTTAACTTTGTATTTTTCGGAGACCAGCAAATTTCTTTTGCTATAGCTTACCAACTTTTTATCCTTTTAATCTTCATTTCAGAACGCAGTAACACAGTAAGAACACAATAAAAATTATGCTCTTCACATGAAACTTTAATACTTTCAAAGTACTCATTAATATTTGATAATAATTATGTTCATAATAATAATTAATATGAGAAAAAATATTATTAATAATAGTTATAATTTATCTTATTAAAAAACATAATTAATCTTAATTATATTTACAATTAATAATATTTTTTATAACATTTAGTTAATAATAATTAATAATTATTTTTTAAGATAAAAGATATATTTTTTTTTGCATTTAAGCTATAGGAACAAACTTTATATTAACTGAAGTTAGAATCGAACAAATATCATATCACCACAGCCAGGTTTTTTATCCTCATATAAGAAAGCTTCATATTAAAAAGCAGCGTATATTAACATATCTATTTTTATTATATACAGGTTCTACATTCTACTTAAAAATATTACAATCACATGATTTCTGCATGTAATTTTATAAGAATGTAAATTCTACTTATGAAACTTTCTTGCCCTTAATACACACACTAAAATTTAATAATATTTATAATTTATGTTATTAATAATAATAATTAATATTATTAAAAAGTATTAATAATAATTAATATTATTAAAAAGTATTAATAATAATTAATATTATTAAAAAGTATTATTAATAATAATTATAATAATAAGCATTAAAAATAATATAAATAATAATGTATTGATAATAATTAAAAAATAATTAAGAATAATTAATTATACTTTAATATGATAAAAGTTATTTTTTGCTTTTAATTTATAGGAACTAATTTAATATTATCTGGAGTCGGAATAGAACAAATTTCATTGACTCCAACTCCACAGCCCAGTTGTTGTTTTTTTATCCTCTTATAAGAAGCTTCATTTTTAAAAGCAGTGTATATAAGCACATATAGTTTTATTTTATATAGGTTCTACATTCTAGTTAAAAATATTACAATCATGTTTTCTGTGTGTATCCTTATATAAATTATTTGGTAATACATTAACACTTAATTTTGTATCATTTGATAATTTCATATTTTCCCTTTTTAACAACAGGTTAACAAACATGGAGTTCTCGCAGATAGGAAAGAAACAAAAAATGAAACTTCAAAACGGAAAAGATGGAGAAATAGGACACCCAATGCCACTTACAATCAACATCATCTTAAATACTCATCATCAGTCTTAGGTAGCATTCGTTGATCGATGTGCCACATCACACTTTTGTCTTCATTTGTCAGAGTTAACTTGTAAATGATAATGTAAATAAACGTCTTACTTTCGATAATATTTTTGCTTTTGAGTGTATTTTTCAACGTAAAAAAAAAATTTTCAGTAATATTTCACGAAATCGACTTCGATATTTATGGAAAAATTCTGTCAACAATATAATTTCAAGCAAAATTTGCTCCGTAGTTAAAGTAATTGATTGAACAGTTTTTGAAAACATTCTGAATCTATGAATGTTAAATACATAACTCAACTAGGAAATTCATAGTTAACGGAAAAGATGGAGAAATAGGACACCCAATGCCACTTACAATCAACATCATCTTAAATACCCATCTATCAGTCTTAGGTCGCATTCGTTGATCGATGTGCCACATCACACTTTTGTTTTCATTTGTCAGAGTTAACTTGTAAATGATAATGTAAATAAACGTATTACTTTCGATAATATTTTTGTTTTTGAGTGTATGTTTCAACGTAAAAAATTTTTTTTAGTAATATTTCATAAAATCGGCATCGATGTTTATGGAAAAATTCTGCCAACAATATAATTTTAAGTAAAATTTGTTCTGTAGTTAAAGTGATTGATTAAACAGTTTTTGATAACATTCTGAAACTATGAATGTATCCTAAAATATGAAAGATAATAAAAAAATTCGACTTCTCTGTTGTTTTATAGAAAACTGGCTCAATTACAAGCAAGCATTACTACAGTCAACACTTAATGATGTTATCATATTTGCCCTAAATTCTGTAAATTTATTGCTCTCTGGAAAAATTAAATGGTTTTAATTCTGTGTAAATAAATAATGTAAAAGAAAAATAATTGGGTGATACACACTTGAAGCATAAGAAGATTAAATTGTTTTATTATTTGTTGCAGATTTTGAATAATTCAGCTGTATTTAATAGCCCATTTAGGTTTAGCATCCTTTCAACAACAAAAAATTTTATTACAAATTTTTAATGTAAGCAATTACTAAATTTAAAAATTTTTTTTATCTCAAATTAAACAAGATTTTACTATTGACTGAAACAAAAAAAATAATACTGGGGGGGGGGACATAAATATTGAGCAAATGGAAGTACAAGGACATATTATAGATTCGGTTCCATAAACAAGAACCTTCCTCGGAATCTAAACACCAAAAGATGATAGAGAAGTAAAGAGACAAACACATGCGAAGTGATTTAACCAATGGGGACAAATGAACAAATTTTTACAAAATCATAAAAAAAGAGATAAGAAACAAGTATGAGGGGATTTGGCATGAATACCATGATGGACCAGATTAAATTATAAAAAAAGCTTCTAAGATTAAGAAATGGTGGGATGCTAGATAAATTATTAACTAAATTATTAGAGTTTCTTAAAAATCAAGTTCGGTAGGGTATGCAATTTCTCATATAATATCAATGCTGTTTAAAACTTTTAAAAGGTTGAGGGACCGAGAAACAGAAAAAAAGTGTTTTTTAACACCTTATGCCAAAAATGTAGCAATAAATTTGTAACTTGTGACTATTTATTTTGGTTATTATATGCAACAGTTGCGCAAAATTTCTTAAACCTAGCTTAAATATTTATGAAGATATGAACAATTTTATAAAAAAAAATTAATTTTTGTGTCTTCCATATTTTTTGCTATAGCTTTAAAATTATTCAAAAAAATTAAACAAAACTTTTGGAGCAATTTAAAATTAGTTACAAAATTTTTGCTTTAACATTTGAGAAAAATCCTCGAAAACTACCTGCGCTAGATATGAGTAATTAAAGCAGTTTTTTCAGACTGCGCATGCACGGGAAAAATCAAAATTTCTTCTTAATTTTGTAGAGAATCGTGTATGGCAACTTGAATAGTTTTAAAAATTTTAAAGTTACAAACAATTTTCTGAGAAGTTTTCATACTTTTTAAAAGAAAGCTCAAATTAATAATGGGTTTTGCACATATTTTATTTTGCATTAAACGAAATTTATTAAAAAAAATAACGGCATTGTTGGGGATAAAAAGCGTGTATATTGTTGGGAATTATCATTTGCTATTAAATTTTTCCCTGTTTTTTTTATTAATATTTGCAAAACAAGTATAAAAGAAATTTACTAAACCAAGTAAACTTCATTTAAAGTTAAAATTTACATCATATATTGAAACATAAATTTTGCTACTACTCTAGAAAAAAATTTTTCTTTAACTTAATAACTTAGTTAACTATGAACTTGGAAATTTCCAATGCAGTTTAGTAGATCGACAACAGTAAAATTATACTATTACTTAATTCTCGATTCATCAGCTGGAAGATAGTTCTAACAGTCTTCAAAAAATGAGGCGTGTCTAAAGAGCGTGCGAATCCTGGATTTATGAAATTAATTTGGTTCTGATTTAAGGAGAAAATGCATGGTAAGTAAATGTTGATTGATAGCATAGCATCCTGAATTCTCTGAAAATTGTTCAAACAAAATTATAAAAATTATCAGCATTGATGCAAANTTTCAGTAATATTTCATAAAATCGGCATCGATGTTTATGGAAAAATTCTGCCAACAATATAATTTTAAGTAAAATTTGTTCTGTAGTTAAAGTGATTGATTAAACAGTTTTTGATAACATTCTGAAACTATGAATGTATCCTAAAATATGAAAGATAATAAAAAAATTCGACTTCTCTGTTGTTTTATAGAAAACTGGCTCAATTACAAGCAAGCATTACTACAGTCAACACTTAATGATGTTATCATATTTGCCCTAAATTCTGTAAATTTATTGCTCTCTGGAAAAATTAAATGGTTTTAATTCTGTGTAAATAAATAATGTAAAAGAAAAATAATTGGGTGATACACACTTGAAGCATAAGAAGTATAAATTGTTTTATTATTTGTTGCAGATTTTGAATAATTTAGCTGTATTTAATAGCCCATTTAGGTTTAGCATCCTTTCAACAAAAAAATTTTTATTACAAATTTTTAATGTAAGCAATTACTAAATTTAAAAATTATTTTTTTATCTCAAATTAAACAAGATTTTACTATTGACTGAAACAAAAAAAATAATACTGGGGGGGGGGACATAAATATTGAGCAAATGGAAGTACAAGGACATATTATAGTTTCGGATCCATAAACAAGAACCTTCCTCGGAAACTAAACACCAAAAGATGATAGAGAAGTAAAGAGACAGACACGTGCTAAGTGATTTAACCAATGGGGACAAATGAACAAATTTCAACAAAATCATAAAAAAAGAGATAAGAAACAAGTATGAGGCATGAATACCATGATGGACCAGATTAAATTATAAAAAAAGTTTCTAAGATTAAGAAATGGTGGGATGCTAGATAAATTATTAACTAAATTATTAGAGTTTCTTAAAAATCAAGTTCGGTAGGGTATGCAATTTCTCATATATAAGTGATGTTTAAAACTTTTAAAAGGTTGAGGGACCGAGAAACAGAAAAAAAGTGCTTTTTAACACCTTATGCCAAAAATGTAGCAATAAATTTGTAACTTGTGACTGTTTATTTTGGTTGTTATATGCAACAGTTGCGCAAAATTTCTTAAACCTAGCTTAATTTATGAAGATATGAACATTTTTACAAAAAAAAATAATTTTTGTGTCTTCCATATTTTTTTCTATAGCATTAAAATTATTCAAAAAAATTAAACAAAACTTTTGGAGCAATTTAAAATTACTTTCAAAATTATTGCTTTAACACTTGAGCAATTTCCGTTAAAATTGTGCAAGATATGAGTAATTAAAGTAGTTCTTTTATATGAGTAAATAAAGTAGTAGTAGTAGTAGTAGACAGCGCATGCACGGGAAAAATAAAAAATAAGAATTCTTCTTAATTTTGTAGAGAATCGTATTTGGTGACAAATAAAAAAACAGTCCGACTTGAATAGTTTAAAAATTTTAAAAGTTGCAAGCAATTTTCTGAGTAGTTTTTGTACTTTTTAAAAGAAAGCTCAAAATAATAAGGGATTTCCACATATTTTATTTTGTATTTAAATAACGGCATTGTTGGGGATCGTCCCCCATAAAAGTATCTTTTCTTTCGCCTGTTTTCTTTCCTTATTAGTTAGCTTTTTTGTGTATTCATGTATATTGTTGGGAATTATCATTTGTTATCGAATTTTTCCCTGTTTTTTTATTAATATTTGCAAAACAAGTATAAAAGAAATTTACTGAACCAAGTAAACTTCATTTAAAGTTAAAATTTACATCGTATATTGAAACATAAATTTTTCTACTACGCTAGAAAAAAAAATTCTTTAACTTAACTTAGTTAACTATGAACTTGGAAATTTCCGATGCAGCTTAGTAGATCGACAACAGTAAAATTATACTATTAATTAATTCTCGATTCATAAGCTGGAAGATAGTTCTAACAGTCTTCAAAAAATGAGGCGTGTCGAAAGAGCGTGCGAATCCTGGACTTATGAAATTAATTTGGTTCTGATTTAAGGGGAAAATGCATGGTAAGTAAATGTTGATTGATAGCATAGCATCCTGAAATCTCTGAAAATTGTTCAAACAAAATTATAAAAATTATCAGCATTGGTGCAAAAATATTCAAATGTAGCAATTAATTTAGGACAGAAAGTATTAGTTATTTAAACTCTGAAAATATATCAGGTTCAAGTAAAAGTTTTCTTCCATTCGAAAAGTAAATATAAAATTTATTACTTTCCTTCTGTTAAATAATAATCTTATAAATTTTCAATTCTCAAAATGCAATGCTAATTTAAATATCTTATAATCATTTTGTTTTATTTAATCAGTTTATGATTTGTTTAAAATTATTTAACTCTAGTCAAAATTTTAAAAACTGTGAAATTGTTGTCCTATTTATTAGTAAAAAAGAATGTAAAATTGTTAGTTTCTTCCTCAAATAAGTTATTAAGCCTTGTTTCTTTTATATTCCATTGTGCTGTCTTTTATTTTTTGCAGATTTAAAATCATTCTCATTGCATCATTGCAATTAAATTATTAGTTAACGATTTCTTAATTTCATAATTTTATTCGCGATATTTGTTAAAGCAAACTTAGAAAAAATAATGTATTCTGCCGTTTCATTGCTTTAATGTTAATTTTTAGATTTCAAAATTTTTATGCGCTTCTATAAATTTGTTATTAAGTTTTCCTTGCTTGCAATTTTCTCAATATTGAACTTTAAACTATGTTAACTTTGAACAAAAGGGAAAATTATAACATTATTTGTAACCTCCTCTCTGGATAAATCGTAATCTTAAATATATGATAATATTTTTTTACCAAAAAGCTCTAAATATTGCCTTTCTTATTTTTCCCCTTATTTTAATTTAGCAATAACATTTATATTTGAGATAGTTTATTTTCTCTTTTTTGCTGTTTTCTCTAAACATTAATTATTATTTTAAAGTTTCTTAAATATTACAAGTCATACATTATATCACTGGACTTAGTTCTTTTTTTAAC